CTGATGCAGGCTGCGGCTGAGGCAGGCTGAGGCTGAGGCTGAGGCAGGCTGAGGCTGAGGCTGAGGCCGGGCATGAGCTGAGGCCGAGCAAGCCGGGCGGCTGAGGCTGAGGCTGAGGCTGATGAGGCTGAGGCTGAGGCAGGCTGAGGCTGAGGCTGAGGCTGAGGCAGGCTGATGCTGAGGCAGGCTGAGGCTGAGGCTGAGGCTGATGCAGGCTGAGGCTGAGGCAGCCTGAGGCTGAGGCGCCGAGGCAGGCAGGCTGAGGCTGATGCTGAGGCAGGCTGAGGCTGAGACAGGCTGAGGCTGAGGCTGAGGCAGGCTGAGGCTGAGGCAGGCTGAGGCTGAGGCCGAGGCAGGCTCAGGCCGAGACAGGCTGAGACTGAGGCTGAGGCTGAGGATGAGGCCGAGGCAGGCCGAAGCTGCCTCGGCCTCATCCTAAGGTTTCCTAAGGATTCCTATGGATTCATACGTATGCCTAAGGATGCCTTAGGAATCCTTAGGAATTATTAGGAATCCATTGGATCCTAAGGCCGTTGCCACTGCGACTGTCATTACGAATGAGACTGCGACTGAGAGAACAGCAGAATTCTACAACTGGATTATTTTCATCTGAATCTTAAGGGGAATGCTTCCAGATATGCTTATACACATCGCTGTTAGGTTGCTTCGCCGGGATAATTTATTGTAGGAGTCATGCATGCGTTGGCGACGATGCGCGCGTGTGCACTTCGTCCACTTGTTGCAACACATTTTTGCACAGTGATGATTTGTGACACGCGAGTGTGCGCGCACAGTGTGTTTTGCAGAGGATGGTGTGTGTGTGAGTGGGGTCGAATTTGGCTTGGTTGGTGTGGTATGAGTTTATACATCGAGTGAACTATGAGGTAGACTCATTTGTAAATTGCACATTTCGAGGCAGGATCGATCATCCCGGCCTCAAGGTGGTGGTAGATCTCAATTCCATTTTTTGATGGAGAATCGACATGGTGCAATCGATGCGGCGACGCCCCGGCGGGGTGGCGATGGCGGCAACATTGCCGCCAGACCAGCAGGCAGGCCCAGACGACGAGCGGCGACGAGGCGGCGACCGGGCGGCAACGGCGGCCACATCGCCGCCAGACCGAAGACGCGTCCCAGACGACGGGCGGCGACGAAGCGGCGACGGGGCGGCGACGGCGGCCACATAGCCGCCAGACCAAAGACACGGCCCAGTTCTTTCGAGCAGAGGGAGCACGTTTCGCGAAGAAAAAAGTGCCCACCCACCCCCGGAAACCCTGGGGGGGGGGTAAAATCCCCTCCTCGGCACTTGGGGGGTGGGGGAGAACAAAAATCCCCCCCTGGGCTTCGAACCCGGGGGGAGGGGGGCGACGACGACGACGACGACGACGACGACGACGACGACGACGACAACGGCGTCCACGACGACGACGAGACGACGACGACGACGACGACGACGACGACGACGATGGCGATGTCGACGACGACGACGACAACGGCGACGACGACGACGACGACATTGGCGTCGACGACGACGACGGAGACGACGACGACGGAGACAACGACGATGACGACGAGGACGACGACGACGTCTCCGTCCGTCGTCAACGACGGAGACGACGACGACAACGGCGTTGAGGACGACGGCGACGACGGAGACGACGACGGCGACGACGACGACGGAGACGACGACGACGACGACGACGACGACGACGACGACGACGACGACGACGACGACGACGACGACGACGACGGTGTCGACGACGACGGCGACGACGATGACGGAGACGACGATGACGACAAAGCTGTCGACCTCGACGACGATGACCACAACAACGGCGACGACGACGACCACGACGACGACGACGACAACGACAACGACGACGGAGACGACGATGACGACGACGACAACGGCGTCGATGGCAACGATGACGACATCGATGACAACGACGACAGCAGCGGCGCCAACGACGACGACAATGACGACGACGACACCGACGACGACGAAGGTGGCTTCGACGACGACGACAATGGCGATGACGGAGACGACGGAGACGACGACGACAAGGACGACGACGACGACGACGACGACCACGACGACCACAACGACCACGACGACGACAACGGCGTCGACGACGACGACGACGACAACGACGGCGACGGCGACGACGACAAGGACGATGACGACGACGGAGACGACGACGCCGACGACAACGGCGTCGACGACGATGACGACGACAACGACGAAGACGGAGACGACGACGACGACACGACAGCAGCGGCGCCGGCGATGACGATGACGCGACGACAACGATGACGACGACGACGACAACGTGGTCAACGACTTCGACGAAGACGGAGACGACGACGACACTACAGCAGCGTCGCCGACGATGACGATGATGGCGACGACGACGACAACGACGACGAGGACGAGGACGACGACGACGACGACAACGGCGTCGATGACGACGACGTCGACGGAGACGATGACGACGACGACGACGACGACGACAGAGACGACGACGACGACGACGACGACGACGACGGCGCCGATGACGACGACGACGACGACGACTGAGACGACGACGACGACGACGACGACAACAACTGCGTCGGCGACGATGACGACGGAAAAAGCGACGACGACTACGACGACGTCGACGACAATGACGACGACGGAAACGGTGACGACAACGACGACGTCGACGTCGACGACGACGACGACGACGGAAACGGTGACGACCACGACGACGACGACAACGGCGTCGACGACGACGACGACGACGACGTCGCCGACGACGACGACGACGAGGGTGGAGACGACGACGACGACGACGACAACGGTGTCGACGACGACGAAGACGGAGACGACGACGACGACGACGGAAATGACGACGTCGACGAAGACGACAATGGCGTCGACGACGACGACGAGGACGAAGACGGAGACGACGACGACGACAATAGCGTCGACGACGACGACGACGGAGACGACGACGATGACGACGACGACGACGACGACGACGGCGACGACGGAGACGACGACGACGACGCCAGCAGCGGCGCCGACGATGACAACGATGACGACGACGACCACGACAATGGCGTCGACGACGACGACGACGACAAAGACGACGACGACATCCAGCGTCGACACCGACGCCGACGCTAGCGCCGACGCCGACACCGAAGCCGACGCCGACGTTGACGACGACGACGACGACGACGACGTCGGCGACGACGACAACGACGACGAGGACGAAGACGACGACGATGACGAACGCGACGACGCCGACGCCGACAACGATCTCCAGCACGACGCCGACGCCGACGCCGGCGGCGGCAACGATGACGACGACAACGACGACCACAACGACGACGCCGACGCCGAGCACCCCACCCACCGCTGGGAGACCCTACAACCAACCACAGAAAGCGCTGTTGTTTAGAACAGAGGCGTGATGCCCTAATTTTAAGCATTGCTTGGTGCATAAAACTGTATGTGTCAGTATCTCTCTGTCTCGCTCGATCGCTCTCTCTCTCTCTCTCTCTCTCTTTCTCCCTCCATTTTTGTTCCTCTCTCTCTCTCTTTCCCCCCCGACCCCCCTCTCTCTCTCTCTGTAGTTCTCTCTCCCGATCGTTCTCTCTGTCTCTCTCTATCTCTCTCTCTCTTTCTTTCTCTCCTCTCTCTCCCCCTCCCTGTCTCACTGTATCTCCCCCTTCTACTCTTTCGGAGTATTCATGCACGTCTTTATATTTATGCCTATCTCTCCCCACTCAACTTAGTCAAGAGGCTTACGCCATTCCGCCGAACCCCAGACGAAGTGAGGTCTTGTGGGCGTCTTCGTGGGCGTCTGGAGCGCTTGCTCAAGACTCTTGCTGAGCGCTTGCTTGCTGTTTCTGGTGTGTCAGAGTTTCCTCGGCGCTTGCTGGCGGTTTCGTGGACGCCGTCGCGCGCATAGGATGCCTTCATGTGTCCGGGTGCGTGGGGGAGTGGCCGCCGCGCATTCGTTATTCCGCGTAAGAGGCTCACTTATCTTGCGCTTCTTTGGAGAGAGCACTGAAATATGTTGCGCGTCGCGCATGAAGCAATCTGCTCCCGGAGTGTCGTCGTGGATAGTCGAGAAAACATAACCATCTAGGGATTCTGACAATGAGGGAGAAGGAGGAAATTTTTGTAGTGGATAACGACGACGGTGAGAGGAAAGAGGAAGATGAAGAGGATATCGAGGACAACGGGACGGCCTGTGATGTTGCCCGTGCTTGGTTTGAGGCCCCCGTCGTGCAGCTGGGGCGTGTCTTTGGGGACTCTTGGGGGCAGCTGGGGGGTCTCACTCTGAGCATGCTCGAAGCTTCCTGGAGCTTATGGGAGCCTCTTCGGGGCCTCCTGGCGGCCCAGGTGGCGGCCTCTTGGAGCGGTGTCGAGGCTCCCGGGGAGGTTTGGGAAGCCCTTCGGGACCTTTTGGGGGGCCCCTTGGAGCCAGTTCGGGGTCTCGGGGGCCACCTTCTGGGGGAGGGCTCCCAGGGCCTCTGCGGGCTCCCCCTCTTGGGTTTCTTTCGGGGCCGCAGGAGGAGGAGGAGGAGGAGGAGGAGGAGGAGGAGGAGGAGGGAGGGAGGGAGGGAGGGAGGGAGGGAGGGAGGGGGGGAGGGGGCCGTGTTGAGGGTCTCTTGGGCTGGCTTGGGCCAGTCTGCGGGGCCTCCTGAGCCGTGATGAGCGCGCAGGCGCCAGAGAGCCGAGGGCGCGAGAAGCATGCGAACAGCTCATAGGCAAGCCACTCTTGAGGCCCTCTGGGGGGGTCCTTTTGTTTTTTTCCCCCAGCGTCTCTGGCCCCTTCTACTCTGTACAACAAGTTTCACGTCTTTGTGATTGTATCTCTATCTCTCCCCATTCAACTTATTGTCGCTCCTTCTCTCTGTCTCTGTTTCTGCCTTCCTTGTTTATACTTGTTTGTTCTCTCTCTCTCTCTCTCTTCCTTTGTCGATCTATCGCTCTCCCTCAGGAATCGTGGAGAACTTGGACACAATGCGGGTTCCTGGCATCGTCGAGAAGTTCAACGCTAAGCCGGTGGCGATCACCAAGAGCGCCAGAGTCTTGGCTCAGAGTCTGCCAGAGGTCTTCTGTCCCGATTTTGCATGTGGTGCCCTCGCGCTTGTCATGCCCTGCCCAGGATTAGGGGTGATTCGGCTCTCGCATAGCCTGGAGGGCGCCGTTTACCGAGGGGGCGGGCGTTATTGACCCTGTAGCTTTGACCGGAGTGCGCAGGGCCCTTGAGCAAGATGCGCATGCGGTGCCACGCGCCGGGCGCTCGGGTGCTGGGCACCGCGCGCGCACGCCAGAACGTTGTTTCCTGAGAGGCTGCGGCATGGCACGCGTCTGCGCTGGGACTTGAAGCGGTTGGGGACGGGACTTGCCAGGGGGGAGGAGGAGGGGGAGGGGGAGGGGGAGGGGGAGGAGGAGGAGGAGGAGGAGGAGGAGGAGGAGGAGGAGGAGGAGGAGGAGGAGGGAGGAGGAGGAGGAGGAGGAGGAGGAGGAGGGAGGAGGAGGAGGAGGAGGAGGGGGGGGGAGGGGGGAGGGGCGGGATGTGGTCTCTCACGTGTGCTCTGCCAACCGGGCTTGGCTTTCATGAAAGGGTGGTGGTTAACACCAAGTCCCGCCCCGCGGAGGCCAGGGAGCGTCTACGCTGGTAGCATTGGGGGGAACGGGGGACCAAATGGCTGTGATCATTATGTTGAAGTTACTTCCACCATAATACCGATAATCACCATCACCATATCATCATCAGCATCATCATCATCATCATCATCATCATCATCATCATCATCATCATCATCACCACCATCATCATCATCATAGGTTTTAACCGTCTTTGATCTCCGTACCCTTCTTCCTCCTCATCTTCCTCTTCCTCTTCCTTCTCCTCCTCCTCCTCCTCTTCCCCGTTACGGTCTTGAGCAACATTGTATCCGCAGCGCGGCTGTTTTCTCTGTCAGGCTACTGTTCACAAACTGAGTTTGCCGATTGCAGGTCGGCTATTGGGGCGTTCCCTGTTTGCTTGGCGTACCTTTGAGTCGCTCTGTGCTGCCTGTCGAGAAATGGGACATGTTGTGTCCGCCCCCTCCTCCTTCTCCTCCCCCCAAAAATCATCATCACCATCACCATCACCATCACCATCACCATCACCACCACCATACTGTAACCATCACCATCATCACCACCATCACCATCATTGTCATCGCCATCATCATCATCATCCTCACCATAATTGTCAACATCATCTTCGGCATAGCCGTCATAACTATTGATAGTCAGATTGGCAATCTTCTGAGTCACCACCATCACCGTGACATTATTGTTCACCATCTTGATCCTCATCTTGGCCGTCGTCTGGTCATTTGTATGAATGCCATCGGCGTGCTGATGCTCTGGTTCGTCATCGAAACAACCATCGTCGCGACAGGTGTCGTCTTCAATAGCGCCATAGCAGTCATGACCATGACCGCAACCAACACATTGTCTGCAATACGCTCTCAACATCTGTTATGTCAAAGTGGCATCTGCGCTTCCATTTTTTATATATGTGTATATATATACATATCTATATATGCGTGTTTATGCACACTTGAGAATTCTATACACATGTTAGGCATAGACGTGCATACATCTACATCTGTGTATATACCACCGATACACCTACAGCCAAGCTCTGCAAGTGTAGCACAGTATCGCGTGCTCTTGCGTGCGGCGCAGCGAGGGGGAGCATCGAGGCTCCACCCGCCACGAGCTGCTCCTCTGCCCGGGCCGGGGCCTTCTTGCTTCGCGGCGCCCGCCATATGTGGCGTTTTGGCACCGCCCTGTTCCGTTCCTGGGCCGCCTCGGGCTGGTCCGACAGACTCGCGGGGAGGCCGAATGAATCCAGAAGGACCGCACGTCGAGGCCTGGCGGTCCCGCAAAGAGGCTTGCTTGGGCCTGGAGGTCCCCGCCGGGAGGGGCCTGGAGGGGGCGCGAACCCGATCGCGCGGGGGGTGGCTCCAGATCCGCCCTACTTTGGACGATGTCGCAAGTGGGCGGACATTCCCGCCCCACTTTTTAAGCTCCTTCGATGCCGATTCCCGACCTACTTCTTCGGCGTTGCCCATTTTTGTGTGGAAGCCCGCCCCACTTTGTGGACAGTTTCGTGAACATGTTCCACACATGCGTGGAAACCTGCACGGGAGTGGGGCGGACAGTTCCGCCCTGTTATCTCGAGGCGGAAATGTCTTCCCCATCTGCTGCGCACCCTACGGGATGCACGCCCGATGCCAGTACAAGCCAGAGTATAGTATCGACCGAGGTACGGCGAATCCGAAGTCGGAGCCCGTTCGGGGAGCAGGCCCGCAGCCCTCGCGCTGATGGGTTCTTACCTCTGCTCGGAGGGGCTGGGCCGCGTGGTCGGTCTGGCGGCTACGTCGTCGCCGTCGCCGCCCCGTCGCCGCCCGATCACCACCCCAAGTTGCACAGCGCAGCTTCTCTCTTCAAGAGAACAGGCTCGACCCCTCCCCCGGGATTCTCGCCCCCCCTTTTCGCATTGCAGTTTACACATGATTCTGCCCCATCGTCCATCCCAAAAACGAGCTCGTACCATCCCAGGGGATCAGGTATCGCCCCCCCCCCTCCCCCGCCATCCTCTGCAACAAACACTATGCGCGCGCATTCGTTGCTCAAAAGTCATGAATGTCCAAGAATCCCTTGCAACATATGAGACGAAGTGTACACGCGCGCGTCTTCGCGCGCGCATGCCGAAACCATTCAAAAACCCTCGGCTTCGTAAGGATTTCAAAACCGAGTGTCCCAAAAACATATAAAAAGCATAAGTTTCCGCAAGACGGGTTCTCAAAAAAGCTTGCGCGCGCTCTTGCGAACTCTAAAAAAACATCGGGCTTTCACTAAATGCTACCAAACGAGTTTCGCGTGCGCGCAATCGTTCGCACGCCCTTGCGCGCGTGCTGGGGTGGCACAATCCGTGTCTAATAATACCATGCGGGCCACTCGCGCGTCTGCCGCGCGCGCATGTCGAGCTCCTTCCAAAACGCTCATCACCGACGCGAAGACGCCGTCATCGTCGCCGGCGTGATCAGCATCGGCGCCGACACTGGCTGCCCCGCCATCGCTCGCTGTCAGCATCGTCGCCAGCATCGCTACTATCATCATCGTGTCTACCGTTGCCGACGTAGCCATGGTACCGCGCCCGCCCAAGTCGCCGACTCGCACTGAAGCGCCCGCTGGGATGTGCCGAGCGGTAAGCGCCACCGCGTTCGCGTCGGTCGCGCCAAACTAGTTGGCCGCTGCGCGCGCGAGCATGCGCGGGTTAGCGCGGCCGCAGAGATGCACCAGCCAACACCAAACACTCATCGCAATCGCTTCCGCATGGGTTTTGCATCCCTGGGGGGCTGCGATTTGCGAAGCTGGCACCTCTTTCGACGGCTGCGGGGGGATCCACAAGGGGCGCCGTTGCGGACCGTCTGCGCCTTCGAGCGTTTAGCTCCCGCACTGAAAAGTGCGGGAAGGAAGCAGGTCAGCTGGCGGGCGAGCTAGGCTTCGCTCGTTCCGCGCACTAATTCTAAGCAGCCTTACTCATTTCGTAAAGCGCCGCGGCGACATGGCGCAGGCAGCGCTGCATCTCTAACGCACTACCGACAAAGGCAACACTCTTCGGTCTCCTCCCGTCCCTTTCTTCGTCGTCTTCTGCCCCCTGCCACCTTCCCTCTGCTGCCGCCGCGCTGACGGGTCCCTCCCCCCCCCACGCGTCCTTTTCCTGCCCTTCGTTCCCGTCCCCATGTCCTCCTCAAGCTTGGCCGCTCGCTCCTCGTCCTCCTGTTGTTGTCCTGTGAACCGTGCCACGCGACCGCGTCCCATGTAGCTTGCACAACATATAACGGCGCTTGCGCTGTCATTGTCTTGGCAAGTTTGGGCCAACTCCTCTCGCCACTTGATGCACGTGGGTTGGGTGGGTCACAAGGTAGTTTTTTCCTCGTTACGTCGACCCTCAAAGGTCTCGACCCATTCTCTGGGACTTGCTTTTTATCCCGAGTGGTTTTCTGACAGTCCCGACGCGGTGTAAGGGCCCAGACCTCCCGTCGTGTTTTCTGTCATGTCGGGAAGAGTACAACCGAAAGAGCGCGTTCTGTGGACGCTGGGAGAGGGGGGGGATTCGAACTGGGGAGGGCCCCCCCTGAATTGCAAGGGGCGGGGGTTCGAACCGGGGAGGGTGCTCTTCCCCCATCAAGGGGGGGGTGTTCGAACAGGGGGGGTCCTGACTTGTAAAAGTATGGGGGTTCGAACCTGGGGTGGGCCCCTCCCACACCCTCCCCAATGGCAACCGGCGTTAGGCAGCGACGACGACGACGACGATCGAGCCTCAGTAGGATGCAATTAAGGCTGGATCGAACCTTAGCGAGATTCTGTTAGAGCTGGGCATTGTCCTAGTAATATCAATAATTGAAAGGTTGATCTCGCTTTTGCGCGATTCCAGTAAAGCTGGATTAAACCGTAGCGTGATCAGATTGGAGCTGGACCGAGCGAACTTAGGATTCTATTAGAGTTGGACCCAGTTCGATTAGGATGCTATTGAAATTGGATCGAACTACGCTAGGATTCTGTCAGAGCTGGATCGAGCCTTCGTCGGATTTAGTTTAAGCTTGGTACAGCTATATTAGGATTATATTAGAGATGGCTCGAGCCCGACTAGGATGCTATGAGAATTGGGTCCATCTATCGTGGGATTTTTGTTGAGCTTGACCGAGCACTGATTGGAGTCTACTGGGGGAGGCCCCCGCCCCCCTTGGGACGGGGGGTGGGCGGTCAGAGAGGCCGTTGTCCAGGGGAAGGGGGTGGCACCGGTTCTCCGAGCGTTTCAAACGTTTGGGAGGGGGGGGGGCGGTTCCGACGTGTCCAAAGATCTGCCCGCCAAGCAGTCGTGCACGAAATGCGTTCCCTCACACAGCCCCTGTTCTTGCGTGCCTTCTCAAGACGCGCTCGGGCGCGCCTCGTCGCCCGCTGCCGTCGCAGGGCCATGGTGCGCGCGGCGCCGCGGGGCGCGGTCGCGCCTGGCCGGCTGGGCCCTTCGGCGGTCCCTC